AGACGAGTTAAAATGAGATAAGATAAGATTAGATGAGATAATAAAAATTTAAATGAGATGAGATGAGTTGGAATGCGATTTAATGTGTTAAGTAGAGATGAAATTAGATAGGAAGAGATGAGATGAGATTTGATGAGCTGAAATCAGATAAGATAAGCTGAGATGTTTTGTGATAATCTGACGTGAGCTGAGATAAGACGAGATGATTTGAGATATGTTGAGTTTATATTAGATGAGATGAATTCAGATCATATGCCTTAAGACCTAGTGACATGATATGAGATCTTATTAGTTAAGACATGAGTTAAGATTATTTGTTTTTATTTCTCAGTAGATGAGTTAAATTCAGATTACCTAAGATTACTTTAGTTCAGATTACCTAAGATGAGGTGTGCTGAGATCTTCTGCGAAATGACAGGATGATATTTGATTATTTAAAATCAGATTTAAGATGAGGTTTAATCAGATTTTATGAGATAAGATAAGGTAAATTTAGTTGAGATGAGCTCAGAGGAGAGGAATGTTATTCGCCCCTGCTTCTTATGAGTTGTAATTAGTATTATTCAGGCTGTAATTTTCCTTTCAATTTTATCTTTTTTTCTAGTAAGCTTTCTCCTATTCGGATTTGGTTATGTTTGGTGTCCTTGCGGAATTCATCTTACCAGTCCAACTCTCGTTCAATGGACTCCGGTCATTTCGCCTTCGCTCTCGTCTTGGCTCTATTTGATGTCCCCCTGTCGGATACTGCCCAAGCGTCGAATGGCGCTGGTCCCCTCCTCCCAGACTCGGCGTTCGAAACCTCTGTCTTGCCATCGAGTGCGCCAGTTGTTGGCCCCTATTCGAAGCGTCTCTCGGTCGACTTCGTGGCTTGATGGCTGGACGAGCCACGGCTCCAGAGTCGCGGTAGCCTCGAGCCAGCAGGTCGCGATCGGCAGCGTCCAGGAAGAGGCGGGTCAGTCGCATGCCGAAGCGAATTGGATCACTGCAACCGCCCCATGCGAACGGGCCGGACTCGTCTTGTGCTTGACCGTCTCGCCGGGCCGGGTCGCAGTCACAAGTGGCCAACTGACCGCGAGAACAGGCTCGTGTAATGGCTTGTACGGTGCCGGCAGACCATGCGGCCGAGACGAAGGCACTTTCACGAGAAACTAAAATGTACCATCGGTATTGGCCAGGATAACTTTAAGCATAGCAGACGGTCACATCATCATGCTTTTGATACATAGGCACAAAATAAACTGTGAAAGAATGTGTTCTTTATGTTTGCGGATATTCAAAAAATTTTAATCTTGCTCAGAAGTCTAATTTACAGGTTAGATGAGATGAAATGAAATGAGATAAGATGAGATGAGATGAGATGAGATGAGATGAGATGAGATGAGATG